TGATATGACATTTATACAGATACGCATGACATTATAAATATTTTCATGATTCACAGAGCTATTCAGACTTACAAGTTGAGTTCTTTACTCCATGTTTCTTTTATGCCTTTTATATATTGATTTTTATGCCTTACATACTCGGTAAATTATTCATACTGATGCCCCTATTGCCTGGGGGCCTGCGTTTCATGCCCGCAGGTGCAGGTAGATAGGCTGACGGTCCCCTCCTTAGGATCCTAGCTCAGCGAGAGTTAGTGTGATCCATTTGATCTGGAGTTGCTATTGGGTTTTGGTACGATACTTTTGTATACATATAAGGGTATGACAGGTCCCAGTACCGTCTTTTATACAGTTTTACACTCTATTAGAGGTCTGTAGACAGTCATCTATAGTTGGATAATATGTGGCCTTGTCGGCTCGCCCTACTGTATTCCGCATGTATATGTATATATGTCTTTTGAGTATGTCTCCTCACGTATGTTATTCACATGATTCAATAGTTTAAGGGCAGATGTTGTGCATGACCTATACTTATTTCATGTTTATATCTTAGACTTATGCTTAGAGGTGTTCGGTAGGTAGAACTCGGGCACTCGCCAAAGTCCATCGTTTGGGTCGTGACAGCAGCGCCTGAACCTTAAAGGCTATGGTCATCCCCATTCGGGGACTGTTATCTTGGGCAAGCCCGGATAACTCGGGATAACAAGCCCACTGGGTGACACCCGAACTAAAAAGTGTACGGCCATACTAAAACGGCTCAGAGACGTCCGAAACCCGTAACAAAAAAATAAGGCCTTCAAAATTTCTAAACCGGTTCAAAAGACTACCCTCGACAAAATTATCATCTAAAAAGTACTAAGTATTTTGGAGAAAGCTTCCGGTCATACCGAGCCCCCACAAATCGTAAACAAAATAATATCGAAAGAAAGATATGTTCGAACCTATGAAAAAGACCTGATTATTACATGGTAAGGCATTTCGATATCTTTGTAGTCATACAGAACAAAGCAAAAAGAAACGAGCTTAAAAACTGTCAAAAGGAAAAAAGAGCCTTATATATATATATATGAAAAGATATTTACAAAGGCCAAATGACCTTCACAAAAAAGGTACAAAAGTACAAAATACAAAAACAAAGAAAAATATACAAAGTACTTAAACGGCTTGGTCTTCACCGGGACCATCAGAGTCTCCTAAATCCTCGGATCCGCCTGATCCCCCAGATTCTTCTTCATCCTCGGGGTACACCAACATCTTGTCCTCTGCCTCAAACCCCTTAGCGGTCGCGATCTCGGCTGACATATCAAAACCTCGAGCATGAACCTCCTCGAGGGCCTCCCTTCGGGACTGCCACTTCGTGTATTCGACCATGTCCCTTAAGCGGTCCTGGGCTGCCTCGGTGTCGGCCCTATACTAGGCCACCATCTCGTCGGCATCAGCTTTGGTCACTTCAACCAATGACTTGGACGCTTTGAGCTCCTTGACAATGGTTTCTCGATCGGAGACGGCCGAACTTAGCTGAGATTGGAGCTTCTTAATTTTTTGGGCCTGCACCTCGGCCTTTTCCTTTGTCGCCCGAAGATGGACCTCTGCCGAGGTCAACTGGGCCCCAGCAGTCTCCTTTTTCGAGGACAGGCGGTCCATTCTACCTCTTCATTGTTCGACCTCGACCTTGACTGCATCTATTTCGGCTCGGAGTTGGTCGATCCGATCGATCTTCTGTTGGACCTGCGGGTTCCGACCATTAGTCACTGTGTCTAGCTCACCGTTACTAACTTCAAATATTTTTACCTGTTTAACCAGGTTAGCGTATTCCTTCCTAGCCAATTCCAACTCAGCTCGAAAGCTCTTAGCCTCTCCTTCACGTTGCTCGCTGAGGAGTTTGTAGGTATCCCTCTTCTCAGTGAGCCCTCAGACTTCAACTTCAAACTGGTTCAGCTCATCCCGATATCGAAGGAAAGTTTCATGGTGAAGCACCGAGGCCTATAAATACAAAGAAAAATGTTAGGATTATCTATGGATTAGTCTGAGTACAAAAGGAGAAATTGAAGTCATAGAGAGATATCTGAAGTTACCCGGTTCAGCGCCTGTTGTGCTTCATTGAACAGGTCGGGCACGTCCACCTCGTTCATCTTGGCTTGGTCTTCCTTGGTCACCAGGCACCGAAGGTAACTGGCCACCCCCACGGGGGCGGAGAGGACCGGGCATCAACCGGAACAGAGATGATGATGGATAGCTTCCGATCAGGATCCACACTCGGAGCTGGGAACCGGTTGATCAGCTTTGGGCTCGAGGAAGACCCGTTTGCTCCCGAAGATGGACTCTTCTTCGGTACCTCTAAGTCACCCAATCCGGTGACATCCTCGTTGGGACGCTCTTTCACTGTTTGGGCCTCATTATACATGGACTCAGTAAACGAAGGTGATTCGGTGATGTCTAATCACACCGAGTGCTTCCTTCGGGGCAATGCCTGCATCCCGGGAAGCCTCGACCCCAGCCTCCTCATCGACCTCCTTAGCTTGAGGCAGGTCAGCCTCGAGGTTCTCTAGTTCGGAGGCCCCTTGCCCTTCAGGTTACGACGGCACGCAGGCCATCACGATAAAGGCTTCTTCTTCTTCTTCTTCTTCTTCGGATTCATCTCTCAGCCGGTAGAGCGAATTCGGAGGTGGTGCTCGGGCATTGGTGCCTTCTTTTAGCTTGCGCACCAGCCTCCATCTTGTTTTTTTTTCTCCGAGATCGTGAAACTCGGAGCCCTTTTTATTTTATTCTCTTTGGCCTACCTTGGAACAGGGGACTCGGTAGGTAAGTTCTCGCCACCGGATGGAGGCCTCAGTTCGGCATCCTTGGATAAACCTGTAAAACGAAGTAAACAGAGTGAGGACTTAATGATAAAAGAGGAATCCAAATATTACCTACTCAGGAAAGGAGTCTCACAATGGGAACGAGCCTCCCAATGGCCCTTCGAGAGCTTGCGCCATGAGCGCTCAGAGTAGGGCATCTGTGATACGATACCCTCAACCCACTCCTTGAGTCGAGGGACAACATTCGAGACTCAAGCGAGGGCTACACTACCACAAAAAACCGATAAGAAAGAAGGAAATAAGTATAAAATTGACTTTCGAAAGTAAAATTTTACGTACGTGATGTATTCCACTTCTCGGGGAATGGAATGCGCTCAGCTGGGATCAGGTCCGAAGTCTTCAATCGGATAAAACGGCCTTGCCAGCCCCGATCCTGAACTTCATCAATACTTGAGAACGGGGCTTTGATGGCCCGACGCACGAGCTTTATCAGTCTCTCCCAGAAGATTCGGGGACTGTACAAGCGTAGAAGATGGTTGATGGTGAACGAGCACCCATCGATTTTGCTCACGAAGAACCGGAGGAGGATCACGATCCACCAGAGCGAAGGATGAATCTGACCGAGGCATACCTTGTACCTCTTACAGAAACCTATGATGACTGGGTTCATCAGGCCCATTGTAAAGGGATAAGTGTAAACACTTTAGTATCCCTCAACATGGGTTGTAATGGCTTCATCGGGGTCAGGGATCACTATGCTCTTATCGGCCCAGTTGTAATCTTTTCGGACCGTAGGAAGGACTTCTTTAGTGATCGAGCAAATGTATCTCGAGACCTCCTCACACCGGCCTTGTACGGAGGAAGGTTTTTCAACCTTCAAATCGGCGTTGACCGAGCATCCTCCGGGGATGAACATTTTTAAAGGGGGTTCAGGTACAGGTTCGTCGATGGCAGCACGAGAAACGGTCTCCTTGGCTTCAGTAGCCGGCCACGAAGTAGAAGGGGTTCTTTCTTGGGAACTATTTTAAAAGTTTTTGCCATTTCTTTAGAAAATGGAGGAAAAATGGGGAAGGAAAGGAAGTTGAAGGATTGTACTTGTTTGGTTGAGATGAAGATGGACAAGAGTTCTTGCAGAGGATCTCAAATAGAGTAAAAGTGCTAGAAAGTATTGGAATCTTTAAGGTATGAGGGTAGAAGGTTTGGATGTAAAGTTAAAATGAACAAAGGAATGGGTATTTATAGTATTTCAGCGGCGGATCGCATCGAGGAATGCCTGACCGGCGGCTGACATGCATTTAATGCCATTAAGAATTGACTGACGAGACGTTTGAGTTGTTTTGTCGTTTCTGTCACTGTATATTGAAGTAAGAATCGAAGCTCATGTCGTTTCTCGTCGTCTACTCTCCGAAAAACGAGAGGACTATCTGTATGCAGGTGAAATCAAGCTTGTGGTGCATCCTAGCCTCCGACATGGTGAGCTAGGCTCGGGACATGGCAATAAAGGACTGAAGATCGACCCCAAGTCTCACCGGGCTAGAACCCGAGGGCAGAACGCCTGTCTTCGAGAATATCGAAGCCATGGTCCCGCAATCGGTCCTAACCTCGAACGACTTCGAAGAAACATTGTCAGCATAGTCAACAGAAGACCGAAGTATCTGTGACCGGTCTGATATTACGGCGGGGATCTCGGCACGTATCAATAAGGAACCGGCAATGAGTGAATCAAGAGATCTTTTACCTTTTATAGAATTGTACCTAAAGTAGGACTCCCCTACTATATAAAGGGGATCTGATAATTCATAAAAGGCATAGTAACACGTATTCCAATGCAGTATATCATTATTTCTTCTGTTATTAGTTCTTTTGCTTTCGTTAGTCAGTGCTTGTTGTTACGAGCCCGGATCGAGGGCAAACATTTCACAAAGGCTTAAATCATCTTCCTCGTGTGGTTTGATCTTACTTCATCTTTATTTATTTATTTATTTATTTATTTATTTATTTATTTATTTATTTATTTATTTATTTATTTATTTTTGTCTTTATTTACTGATTTGTGTCAAATAAATTCACGTATCCGTAAATCCACTTACAAATTTAATTGTTATCCGATTTTGAGGGTAAACACATATAACTAAATACAATTCCAAATCAGAAAGATATACGTACAGTTGTAACATGTATTTTCCAAAAGAAACTAAGTCATGGAAAACATGCGTTATTATTGCATTAATACAAATGAACGACAACAGTTGGGAATGCACACTTGTTCCATAGAAATACAAGCTTAACTAGTATAAAATAAGAACGGGACGCGGGGAGGGGGGAGGGGGACAGCATAGAAAAGAAGTATGTTTGTGATCCATAGTAGAAATATTAGGGGTTGTTTGGTCGTGAAACAAGTTATCCCATAATTAATTATCTCTGGATTAGTTATCTCATTCTCCTATAGAGATAAAAAACAGTATAATCCCGGTATAACTAATCCCGAGATTAGTTATATCCCACCCTCTCATAGTGATAGGAAAACACTACAATCCCGAGATAACTAATCCCGAAATGAGTTATACCACTATTTTATCCCAACGAAACATGAGATAAACTCATCTCAAATTTAACCCCAGATTAATTATCCCTTACCCCTCGTACCAAACGAGCTAAGGAGCTAATTTAGAAAGAGCCAGAGGAGGTGTCTTGAAATTGGAGAGCCAACAAGGAATGTAACTATATGTAGCCATGTGAGGACAGTACCTTGGGTAAGCAAAGAATTCTACGCATTCAGCAAATGATCTTTGGAATGGAAGACCAGGAATGCAGTTATTCTTCAAATCAAGCACTCCATTTCTTATCAAACTCAAACAAATTGGCCCAACTCCTGTAAAATAGTTATCAGACAATGATAAATTAGCCAAATTTCCCAAGGCACAAATCACATCTGGCACTATCCCATACAACTTATTTCCAGCAAAATTCAATACTTCAACTTTCTCTAAACACCCTAACGAAAATGGAAGTGGACCGGTTAGTCTATTATTGCCAGCATCAAATACTACTGCTTGTTTCAAGAATCCCAATTCATATGGTAGACAACCACTTAACAAGTTGTTAAGCAGCAAAATTTCTGTCAAACTCGACAAGATTTTGGAAATACCACGTGGGATAGGACCGAAAAATTTGTTGTTGGCTAACGTAAGATAAATAACATGGCTACTGGCAATATTATCAGGGAATCTTTGCATGAAATTATTGTTGTTGATAAATAGCGCGTCGAGCTGGTCTTTAGTGAACAATTGAGGTGGGACTGATCCAGTGAAAGAATTGAATCTTATGTCCAATATAGATAGGCTATTCATGCCCAAAATAGCACTAGGAAATGGCCCAAAAAATTGGTTGTTACTAATATCAAGTTCATATAGATAAGGAAGATTGGCTATTTTTGGAGACAGAGTCCCACTAAAATTGTTGGAATTAGCATGGAAAATGGCTATATCTGGAAGTTGATCAAGAAAGCCAACAAGTGTAGGAGCAGTTAATTGAAATCCATTGAAATCAATAGAAGCAAGAGCAATTGCTGATTTGTTATCTGGGGGACTTTCGCAGTAGAAACCAGTATAATTACATATATTTGGACCAACCCAAGATTTTGTGACACCTAAAGGATCAGAAGTGATGATATTCTTGAATTTTTGGATAATGGGATATACTATAGCCAGTCTTTGATCTGTAAAAACCAATTGGTTTTGTCCCTTTGATTGTTGTGCTGATGTAACACTGAAGAACAATATTAGAAATTTGATACTATTCATTTTATCTCAAAACCAAGAACATCAAGTGAGAATGAAAACAGAGAACAAACAAGCAGAGTTCACTATACATTGAAGGCAAATCATCAGTATTTTTATAGTTTTAGTTGATTACTTTTCGTGGATTAGTAAAAGCAATTTTTTTAAAAGAAAAAGGTCTTGAAATGAAATTTAAATAGTAGGAAAGCGGTCAACTTGATTAACCAACCAATCCTGAGTGTTTTAAAAATTTGAGACCGTGCAAAAAGAAGCAATAATGGAGCTCACTATTTGGTTGTGGCCAGGGACCAGAATGCTTTGCATTATTTAAAATTACAATAAAGAAGATGTCATGTTTCCTTTTTGACATTTTTCGTTATCGATTAGGCTGTCAGTAAGCAAGCTTGAGTAATTAATTATATTATATGAGCCTTTTCTTATGCTATAGTATACTCATAAATGTTTTGTAGACAACTCGAACGCCTGAAATCCAATCAATATTTGTCCCTGTAACTATCAGTTTTTGTTGCAATCCAGCTAACAAGTAGCTTTTGGGGGTTATGTATCAGCCAGATATATAATTCAACAAGTGGTCATTAATTCTGATATTTTAGGATTAAGCAATACTTTGTTAGCAGAAGATAAGATGTTTTTATGAGCATCATTAACGCATCATATGGTCCTCACTTTCATTCTTGTTTACTTTGTAGTGGATTGGGCTTAATTGCAAAGGAGAAAAGCCATTAAGAATGTACAAAATAGAGCAAATCATTATTTTTCCTTTTATCCAGCAGAACTTGGAAAATTTAAATTAGCAACAGAATTGAGTCATTGACTGCTAGGAGCATCAAATTCTTCTTAATAATCTATTACTAGAAATTTTTTGGTTTCTGACATTTCTTTTTCTTGCTGGCATTTATTAAGGGTTAGCTCTTTTCTGGATTATTCAAAAGACTTTTGGAAATTAGGCTTGAACCAGAGCCTACTCCGATTTCTACTTAACATGCTTGCTGGTTTGGAGCCTCTTATCAAATCCCATACATGGATAATGGGCCTTAAAAAAGGTCTATTTCTAAATCAGCTCAGCCCTAGTGGTAATAGGATCTCGTGAAAATAGTCCGTGCTAGCCAGTTTTTGGACTGGTAATTGAAAAATAGTCAGCGTTTCAAAGTCATTAAAAAATAACCACTATTTTGCCGTAACACAGAAATTTCCAGCACAATATACTGGAGATTGGTGCACCTGTGCATGAACTTCCAACATATTGTGTTGGAACTCCAATACACGGAAAGTTTCAGCATAATATATTGGAGATTGGAGCACCTGTGTATGAACTTCCAACATATTATGCTGGAGCAGTATATTATACTGGAACCCCAGTATATTATGCTGGAATATATTCCGAATTTTGAATAGTATTTTCGTTCAGATTTATCATTACACGAAAAATGACTAAATTTCGATTACTTTTGAAATTGTGACTATTTTTTAATTTACCACTTATAAATCTAGCTATTTTTGAATTTCTCCCTATGTCTCTACTTGTAAAAGTTATAATATCTGGGCAGGCCTATCGTATGATATCCTAAGCTGAAAAGACTAATATTTACCCAATTGAGATGATAGAAGAGCCTTCTGTGTGTATACGTCGGTTGGTTTGCTCTTGGCGATAAGCTTACCTTTGAGTTTGAGAGGAGCCTCGAAAGCAAGCATTTGATTTAAGCAAAAAGTGCCATTGTGCTAGTGGAAATTGAAATCCGCTTCCTTCTTCATTTAAAGTGGGATCAACTCACAATCCCCAAATCTAAACTCCGTCCTTATTTATGTTTCTTACTCTCCTATTTAGTTTGTTTCAGAAATTTTATACATCTTTTTATATTTAGTAACTTTTTAATTTCTAACATTTCATATGCCATAATTAAGACCACAAGATTCAAGAATATTTTTAAATATTACACACATCTTTAGTTTAAAACCATAAGATTTCATTTTTTTAACTTCTCTTATACTCCGTGCCTAATCAAACAAAGAATATTTGGCTACACTCATAATGGCCCAACGATAACCACACCCGTGAAATACCCTTAAAACCCTTGATTTCATATTTGGCTTAATAGCCATTATTTCCCTCCAAAATATTTCCCTCCCAAATAAACTAATAACTATTGATTATCCCAAAACATTGATCCCATAAAATCATCATTCTCTCATGGGAAGATCAAAAGTCTTCGTATGTATACATATACTGTTATGTATTTTTTTTTAAAATAAAATTTATACGGATGGGAAGATCAAAAGCCTTCGTATGTATACGTATATTATTTTTCGAAAATTTATACGGTATATAAATTCGAGTAACCTTGAATCCTAAGTAGCAATTTTGATTATGAAATATTGATGAATTAAGTTATGTATTTTGTATATTTAGTCCCCTTTTAATAATCAATAGCTATTGACTAAGGTTATAGTCATATGGCCTATGCTAATTACATTGTTGTGATTCATAGTTATAATGACTGTTTATATAATAGCCATTTAATAATTTCATTCATTAAGGTCATACGTATCGGCCACTAGTTATTCATAGCAGCTATATAAGTCCATTGACTAAGGTTATAGTCATATGGTCTATGCTAATTACATCGTTGTGATTCATAGTTATATTGACCATTTATATAATAGCCAATATATAATTTCATTCATTAAGGTCATACGTATCGGCCACTAGTTATTCATAACAACCATATAAGTCCATTGACTAAGGTTATAGTCATATGGCCTATGCTAATTACATCGTTGTGATTCATAGTTATATTGACCGTTTATATAATAGCCAATATATAATTTCATTCATTAAGGTCATACGTATTGGCCACTAGTTATTCATAACAACCATATAAGTCCATTGACTAAGGTTATAGTCATATGGCCTATGCTAATTACATCGTTGTGATTCATAGTTATATTGACCGTTTATATAATAGCCAATATATAATTTCATTCATTAAGGTCATACGTATTGGCCACTAGTTATTCATAACAACCATATAAGTCCATTGACTAAGGTTATAGTCATATGGCCTATGCTAATTACATCGTTGTGATTCATAGTTATTGATAGGTTAATATGTACCTTGTAATATTTTGATGATCTAATAAACTTACTGTTAAGAACCAGATGGGAACCTGTTTGTCATCATCAAAAAGGGGGAAATTGATAAGTTATGTGTTCTGCTATGTTTTGATGAGCTGACAAACTTAATGTTAAGAATCAGATGAGAACCTGTTCCACATCCTTTGAGTGCTCAAAGATCAACAAGTCTCAAGTCTGGGACATACTCTAACTTTCAGAGTCCAAGAAACAACAGAGGGAACATATCGATATCAGTTCCCTTGCTGACTGTACCAGTCAATCTCCACAACTGTAAAGTGACTACAATTGTTCCTCTGCACACACAACAGTGTAAACAGTGGAGCAGTCACTTTATGGGGAATGCCCTTACACCAAATATGCTTACATCATTCAAGTGATGTCACTTATGTAATATTAACATGAAGGAAAGGCAAAACAACACTTGCACACTCTAGAATTCATCAAGATTTCTCTCAAGTGCATTGCCAACCTGCAAGTAACCTTCAAGGTGTCAAGAACAAAGAGCAACATAACGAAGGACCGGTTTCCAGCATTGAGTCATCATATGTCCTTGGTTGTGTAGCACCTTTGTCAAAGCAACTTACTTGTAATTCCTACTTAGCTTAGTTAGAGGCATTGTGTAGGAAACCTTTATAAATCATAAACCCTTGTGCTTGTATCTTGGCTAGAGTTAGTCGAGTTGTAAGTCTTTGTAATAAAGCTATTACAAAGTGGCTTGTAATAGAGTTGTTACAAGTTAGTGAGGGATTAGAAGGTTAATTCCTAGGTTACAATAAGTTATAATCTAAAGTTTGCTCAGTAGTGAAGTTGAAATCCTACAAGGGTAGGTCGTGGTTTTTAATCCCGTGAGCTGAGAGTTTTCCACGTAAAACTTCTTTGTGTCATTTACTTACTGCAGTGTGCGTGTGTTCTGTGGGAACTAATAGAGAACCTGATTCTCTATATAGTTTGGTGGACCCTTAAATTCTATCAATTGGTATCAGAGCCGGTTCTTTCTATCAGGCTAATACCTAGAAAGGATCCTCATGGCTGCTCCACCAAACTTTGAAGAAGGTCAGTTTACCTACAGGCCACCAAGGTTCAATAGCCAGTACTATGGATGGTGGAAGACTAGGATGCATAACTTCATCATGGCTGAAGATTCAGAGCTATGAGATGTTATCACCAAGAATCTTGGCGACCCAGCTGTAGCCATTTCCAAGATGAGGAAGGAATTCAATGACGATGATCGAAAGACCATAGAAAAGAACTTTCGTGCAAAGAAAATTCTTGTTTGTGGCATTGGTCCTGATGAATATAACATGATATCGACATGCCAATCAGTAAAAGAAATCTGATATGCTATTCAGATAGCTCACGAAGGAACAACACAGATTAAGCAATCCACGATCGACATGCTCACAACTGAATACGAGCTCTTCAGGATGAAAGATTTTGAATCCATCCAAGATATGCATACTCGCTTCACCTCCATCATTAATGAGCTTCACTCTCTTGGTGAAACTATTCCAAGAAACAAGCTTGTCCGGAAAATCCTTAGTGTACTGCCCAATTCTTGGGAAAGCAAAGTGAACGCCATTACAAAGGTGAAGGACTTGCAGACATTGACCATAGATGAACTTGTTGGCAATCTAAAAACATATGAAATGAAGAAGAAGAAGAAGGACAATGAAAGAAGAGAACCTAAAAGGGAGAAGAACCTGGTCCTCAAGACAGAAGATTCCAGAAGATGGCTTGCAGGAATGGAGGCATTCCAAAAAGGGGAAGTTCTAGCAAGCCAAAAAATTATGACCTCTGTCATAAATGTGGTAAGCCAGGACACTTCATCAAGAAGTTCCCTCTCCTAAAGCAAGATCAGTACAAAAACAACTTTGACAAAGCATCCAAGAGGAACCCGGTTCCTGATAAACGCTTCAAGAGAAAGAATGTCGCTAAAAATGTTGTA